TGACCTTTCCTAGAAGAAGAAAGCACAGAGAAATCCTTTTTGTCTGTGTTCTTGTGTCTAGCATAAATAAGGAAAGAGTCGTTTGGATTATTCCAACAGATATAATCTTTGAATAATTCTTCTTCAATTTTCAGCAAGTTTCATCAGAGTCTAATTTGATCAGAGCCTTCTGATGTTGATCAGAGTTTTGCTGAATCAGAGTCTTCTACAGCAGGTGCGCTTTTAGCGTGTGTAAGTTCAGAGCATATTTGAGTAAGATCCTCAGTACTGGCAGCTTTAGTACTTTCAGAATCTTCTGTAGTAACTATGCTTTGAAAACTCTTCATACATAATTCTTCTTTGGTTCAGATGCTTCTGACTTGCTTCAGATTCTTCTGGAGCTTCTGCTTCAGATCCTTCTGGAGGCTACGCTCAGGATCTTCTATTGGCAGCATTCAGAATCTTCTAATGGATGCATCTGGCGCTTCAGAGTCTAGCAAATTTCTTATGTTCAGTTCTGATTTGCTTCTGAAGTGATAATTATTTGGATATCTGCAGCAAACACTCTTAAGCAAATTTTAGAGTATATAATTCTTAATTACAAAATTTCATAAAAGTTGTCATCAAAACATAGAGATATTATTAAGAACCAATCTGTGTTCTAACAAATATGTTTCGTGCGTGAATGTAATAAAGGGTTTTTGGTTAAGTTAATGGCGTTTGTATTGTCACACAAAATGGGAATACGTTTAAGTTTAACATTGAAGTCGAGTAATTGTTGCTTGAGCCACAAGACTTGAGCACAATAACTATCGGCCACAACGTATTCCGCATCGGTTGTTGACAAAGCAACTGAAACTTGCTTTTTTCTATGCCAACTCACTAAGGAATTTGAGAAGAAATGACAAGTGTCACTCGTGCTTTTCCTATCCGATTTACAACCGGAAAAGTAGGAATCAGAATAGTCAACCAAAGAGCAATCACTTAAACTCTTTTCAAAACCTCTAAAAAATACAAATCTCATCAAACTTCTTTTTATGCCTTTGTGAACTTTTTTGTAAGAGCCATTTTTTCAAAAGATTAGATATTAGTCTATTCTTGTAGTGATGCAACCCACTATACTTCTATAAGATACTGATAAATGATTGATATTTCCACTTGAATGTTGACACGTCATTGTGAGAAAATCCAAGTAAAAGTTCTCCATATCAAGATGATGCAAATGCTCATTTCCTCATGTTTGTGGGTAGTAAGTTGAGTTCTCCACTTGAATACAACAACATACCTTTTTAATTAAACTCAATCAACAAACAATCCAACTTTCTTATAAACACAGATTTGCAAGTGATTTCCGTTGAGTACAACGGATGTGAGTGGTGCTAATACCTTCCCCTTGCATGACCAACCCCCGTATCCAGATCTCTCTTTATTAGCTTTTTGCTTTTTGTGGGTTTTGTTCAACCTTTTCCCTTTTCTATTTTGAAACAATAAGTTCGGTGACGACTTTTGCTTTTCAAGTTAAGCTAGTCAATATCTTAATCTCAATAATTTTTCCCACCACGACACCATGCTCACTACGATTAGAACAAACCTTAAATCTCTTTTATCAGGGTTAGGATAAATCTCAAGATTCAAATAATACTTATAGAGATACTTATCAATTATCCACCAAACTGCCTCATGATGCACTTAGAAAGATGAGGTTACATCAAATGTGAACCGCAAGCCAGCCAACCAAAGTAGAAGGCAATGTCGTCCAATGAACGCGTCTCACGATGAAAGACATACTTGTTGAATTGTATATTCTCTGCTACAATGCGATCAAGATACACTTTGTATGGATGTGTTGTCTGGTTCCTTCAGAGTGGGGCGAATGCCATAACATGTGGCATATCCTTAGTGTAGGTAGGCAAATATGACAATTCAAATATGTTTGGAAAATGTGAGAGAATCCAATCCTGGAAGCGGTAAGTTATAATTAGTAAAAGATGCAAAAACTGACGTATATTTTAAGTATTACGAAAATGACACGAAGTGAAGTAGAAATATTACCGTAAAAAATGTGATATTGCTTGTAACCTATTTCGTCTTCCACATACAACCTTCGCCTAATTTAGAGTATAAGTATACTAAACAAGCACCCTGTAATTGTATTAATGGACCTGTTCCAAGTCACCGAAGTATCACAGGTATACCATATCAACATGTGTGGCACTCTTGTCCATGAAGATGGTTGTGCCAACCAAATACAATAAGTATGCTTTAAGAGCGCATACTATATGGTGCACAACCTTCTTAACATCACCAACAACTTGCACTCTATTAAGTAATTATTGTTTATACACCTTCTCCGGGTATCTAAACCTAGCATAAGCCCCTCAGGTGACTTCTAACTCCATCATGGCTTTCCCTGAGTCAACTCTTAGATAGTCTACCAGTATCACCAGTGCCTTATATTTGTTGATCTTGTTGTGAGCTAATAATCTCCCCTTGATCGGAAGATGCAGCATGCACAAAACATCTTATAGTGTGATAGATATCTCACCACATGGGAGATAAAAAAAAAAGACGTCTCTGAGTGCCATCTCTCCATAAACGCAGACAACAAACCATGACTAAGAGTAGGATAATCGATCCTACTCAAATTTCTCAGTCCGGATGCTTGCAACACAATCATAAACCACGACTCATTAGGCACATCTAGACTCATAATCTTCCAGATATGGTTTATGAATTTTAGTGCATCTCGGTCCTGAAACAAAAAAAACTATTCTCAGACTTGTCTTTTCAAATTAAGATGAAGAAGATACATTTTTCATTTAACTTTAATGGTTTATGTCAACGTCTCAGACATGTCTAAAGGCAACAATGTTAAGTCTGACGAGCTTCCTCCAAACCCCTGCGGGGCATTAAGTGCCTCTTGCAGGCCTTGGGTGCCTCCTGCAGGGAGTCAGGTGTCTCCTATGCATCAGTAGGTGACATCTGTCTCCTACGGGATGATGTAGCCGAAGATGCACGAGCCTTAGATGTCGAACCCATAAAACAATCACCGTGCTAGAACCAATAGGTGCTTGGGAGAGTTGGGATCTTTCCCTCCGAACCAATGCATGTTGCGCAACTCTACCGTGCCTCAATCTATATTTCCTATCAGCCATAATGCCTAAAAAACACAACCATTAGACAAATGAAACATATTAGATCAAGAAAAAAATTTGAAGACAAACAACTTTCGGAGATGTATCTCAGGTTTCTAAAAATACGTTGTAATTTTATGGAGATGCATCTCTGTAAAGTTCTACAACTTAGAAGTCGTCTATTGCGAACATACATTCGACCCAACAATCAAAACAATACATTTTTTCAATAGAACAACCTATCAAACACATTGTTAATGTAAATGAACTATCTAAACTACCTATTACAGAATCTAATGCTCAGTTTTTACTTATGTTGATGTGAAATGAAAAAACTTTAGAAAAATAAAAAACTTACCAAATGTGACTGGAGTTTGATGTTAAATGAGCTCTTTAATCGTTTTTGTGTTGATGGAAGAAGATTTGGAAGTGTTTTGAATAATTTTGAGTGATTGTGAGTTGAGAGATTTTGGAAGATGAGACTTGGAGAGCTTTAAGAGTATTACGAAAAGTGAAGAAAGGGAAAGAATTCCGATATTTTTTGATTAAATATTATTTAAAGATGCACCTCAATAAATAAAAAATCTACAATATAGACGAGAAAAGTTTACAGAAATGATAAATTTTTTAATGCAGCCTAACATTTGAATCTCAGCATTAAATTTGAGACATTGTATTTTTGATAAGTACAAAATTGTATCCTTAAAATTTAGAGATATTTTTTCTGCCGAAAATAATAGCAATCCATAGGATGTGTTTAACAATTGCCTAAAATTAACCGAACTCTAATGGAGTAATATATTAAATGTTTGAATTTCACTCTGAAAAATTAACACCTCAAGATAAAAGTGGCAACCATATAAATATGAGAAATGCTAAGTTGACACTCAAAAGTTACATATACACTATATGTATACTTTATATGTATCATTTGTTTTTTTTAATAATTTTTCCATGCTTTGGTTTTTGTGTCAAAGTAAAATGTTTAAAAACTTTTATGGTGTACATACTGTGTGAGTTAATAGGGTGTCAACATAGCAACACTCTATAAATATATCCATTATCCAACAAATCCATCATATTTTCTTACAATCATAAATATGCCATGCCTCATTAATTGATTCGACATATTTTCATTCACCACACATATTTTCAGTAGTTGAATCAGAACAAATAAATTCAGATTTTACATTTAATATTTTTTGTTTTAATATAACAATATATCAATTTAAAGGTCTTGCAACTAATACCTCAAAAACACTCAAATAAAAATACATTCTATAAAAAATTAATCATTTTAATTTTAATGCATTAACTACACATATTTCTAAGAAAATTTGCTATTTTAAAACATTAAAGAATATCCCTATAGCATTGGTTAGCATTTCCCAGACTTGCAGCTAATCTGATTTACGTAAAAATTTAAAATTCTTATACAACTTCAATACAAACAAAAAGTGATGTATTCTTTACCGACAGTGTGAACGAAGGATTGGGACCCGGCTCTTGACTTTGAATTTGTACTACATCCATGTCAATGATAACACGTATTACTTTGATCATAAATCTTTAAATTAGAAACTAACAAAAATTAACATCACCATCACCAGCAGATCAGTACCACTTGCCGAACTAATATTACTCAGTCTCGGAGGATAGAATTAATAATGATTTCATTTATGTCATCTACTAGATAGTTGATCCATTTTCATTTAAATAACTTTCATTTAACGATTTCTTTAACCATCAACTCGTGCTCTCTCTATTCTCTCTCCATGTGCGAACGAACGTGATCCTATAACCATCAACTCAATAACGACTCAGTAGAATCTTCTGGACTTTTTATCACTCACCATTCTCTCACACTTCATTTTCAGTTCTCTCACTATGACGGAGCCTCTGCTGAGAGGCGAAAGCAGTGGATTGAGAAACCGTTCGCGAGGGATTGTCCGCCGCACCGATGCGATCACCTACGGTTCCAACTACGAGAAAGCCGCAGCGCTTATCGATCTGGTTCGTTCATTTCACACTCCTTTCTATCTTCGGAAGCTAGTTGAATGAGCTTAGTTTCTGCTAGGTTCTATAGTTTAACTGTTAGATAGTTTTGCAATTGTGAATTTGCAACCTAGTTTTGAATTGTGCGTTGGTGTTTTGGAATTGAGTATTGGATACTGATAGGTAGATCTTGTTGTTCTACGGTTTAGGACTTGGTACTGTGCTTTAGGAATTAGATCTAATTTCAGTCAGATTCTTGTTACAAACTTCTTACCGATGGTTTTATGCAGAATCACCAATTGAATTTACTGTGGCTACGATTGTGCTAGAATTTTGAATTGGAATCACGTTTTTGGTTTTAGTTCTTTTAAGTTTGTGAGTGTTAGTCAGTGTTTGGTTTCACCTTTGGAGGAGTTAAAATTGACTATAAATGTTGAATTGATTTTAACATACTTGACTGTTATTAAGTACAATTAATTTTACTTCAGGATTGATTTTGACTTTAAATATTTTTAAGTACAATTGATTTCGCTTCTTCAATTCAATCTTCAATGGATTTTTAGTTTCAAGTTTATTGTTGTTGTGACAAACGCCCCACCAGGAACGAATAAAATCATGACAAAGATTGAATTTCTTGAACAAACACAAGAAACTCTTTTTAAGTTTACAAAAGAGAGAGAGAGAGAGAGAGAGAGAGAGAAAAGGGAAAAAGAAGAACAAGAATTGGTTATAACTGTTTTTCTATTCACTTTTCCAATTAGGGCAAAAGATTATAACTTATAAATGAATAAAAACAATCAACGCTTAAGTTTCTCTCAACAACCTGAGAGAATAGCCTATTTATAAACTACAAGTTAACTTAAACACTAAGTTAACTTAAGCACTAAACTAACTTAAATAACAAGTTAACTTATACAACTGCATGTTAGAACATGTTTCGACTACAACACGCAGAATTTCGACTTCTGCATGCTTAAACAGACTTCGACTACAACACGCACAACTTCTGTCGAAACATGAAGCTATCACCGTTGAGACTAGAGTTTGATCCAAGATACCGCAATTGTTTAATGCATTTTTATATAAATATATCTAAATCTAAATTTTTTTCCAACAGTAAATACAACTTCATTAATACAATTGAAATATGACCATACCCCGCCCGTATTCTAGAAGCAATTGTTACAGAAAAAGATACATAACATATTACATATAAATTGTTCACAAGCTAAGAAGACACAAACAAACCAAAAGCAACAACTTTTCATCCACCTATCCACTCTCTTACAAACACGATCAATGGCAATATGAGAAACAGAATCTAGAGTCTTTTTCCAAATTCAATTAAGGATGATTTCTTTGACTTATATTTGCGCATTTAGACTATCTTTGGTCTCAAGATTGTCCAATTTTATCTAATGTTTGAAAAATAATTGATGAATGGAGATAGTGTTGTAATGGATGTCGGGCTCATAAGCTTCCTCAATCATTATGAGATGCCAATAGACACACTAAGCTGCTCCAAGACAACTCTTTTGAGGCTTATTACCAAACTCCAAGAGTGCAAACTTAGACTTGGAAAGACAAAAAACACAAATATAAAAAACACATAAAAAGAGGTAGACA